ACAACTAGCACGTTGGATTGGAAAAATAGACCAGTATAATTATGATATTCAATAAAGAGAAGGAAAATCTCATGGAAATGTCGATGAACTAAGCCGAAGACCCTGCAAAAATGACTGCAGACATTGCTGTAAAAGAGAGGTTGAACTAACCAGGTGCCATCAAGCTGAAATCAAAGAGATTGAAGGAGTTTATGATGTTGAAGTGAAACCAGTTATAGATATTAAAGCAGAGCAGGAGAAAGACCAAGATTTGAAGACAATAATTGATTTTCTAAAAGCAAGTGTTTTGCACCTTGCTTGGGAGAAGGTGTCTAGCTTAGGCCCTGTGACAAAGAACTATTGGGCACAATGGGACCAGTTGAAGCTTGAAGATGGTATTCTTGTCTGGAGATGTGAAACTGCAGATGGGAAAGTGACGACCTGGCAAACGGTTATACCGAGAAAGTTACGGGAAGTTGTGCTGCGTAAATCCCATAATAGTTTAACAGGAGGACATCTCGGAGTTAAGAAGACATTTAATCACCTACAACAGAGATTTTACTGGATAGGTATGAGGCAAGATGTGGAAGAATGGTGCAGTACATGTTGTGCTAAAAGGGGATCCAAGCATAAGGGACGTGTTCCAATGAAGTTATATCAAGTTGGTGCACCAATGGAAAGAGTAGTCATTGACATTGCTGGTCCATTGCCCCAAACTCGTGCTGGAAAAAGGTACATTTGTGTGGTGATGGATTATTTCACCAAGTGGCCTGAGGCATATGCAATACCAAATCAGGAAGCTACAACAGTAGCTTCGGCTATTAGTGATTTCTTCTTCACATTTGGTATGCCATACAAACTGCATTCGGATCAAGGCCGTAACTTTGAATCAGCTGTGTTCCATGAATGCTGCAAGTTGTTTGGCATACGAAAGACCAGGACAACGCCACTTCACCCACAGTCTGATGGGATGGTAGAAAAGTACAATTAGACACTGAGACAGGAATTGGCAAAGTTTTGTAATAACCGCCAAGATGACTGAGATGTCTTACTCCCTCCACTGTTGATGCCCTATAGAACAGCAGAGCATGAAGCCACTGGATACACTCCAGCAAAATTGATGTTTGGTCAGGAACTTCGGTTGCCAGTGGACCTGATAACAAGGACGCCCACCGTATGAAGAGTTGCTTGAAAATGTGCCAGAGTTCGTGAAAGTGTTATATGTAAGGATGGATAATATTCACCATCATGTGCGTTCAAACTTGAAAACGTCTTCTGATTCGATGAAGCTATGTTATAATAAGAAGTCTACTGAAGTCAGCTTTGTACCAGAAGACAAGGTTTGGTTGTATAATCCCAGGAAGACCAAAGGGAAGTCTCCAAAGTTGTCATCTCCATGGGAAGGCCCATATGACATAGTGGATCGTCTCTCAGACGTGACTTTCCAGATAAAACGTGGTCGGCGAGGTAAGCCAAAGGTGGCGCATGCCAACAAGCTTTGGCGTTATCACGGTCCTGGACCTTTCAGTTGGAACGAAGTGAACAATGGAACAAATGATGCTGCTGAAAACGTGTCACCTGAAAAAGCCATCGTCGAAGAAGAAACTCTACCCGGTTTTGAGAAGCGAAACAGTGAAGCCCTTGATGAAGTTTCTACCACTGATGTGACTGTTACCGATAATAGGACATTTCCTGATGGAGCAGATGAACCCCACGTGAAGCAGAAGCCAACGAGACGGAGACCAGTGCGGAAGAAGATACGTCCCGTAAAATTAAGAGACTTTGTTGAATTTTAATTTTGTGTTTGTAAATTCTGTACATTTAATTAAGTTATTGTTAATTATCTATTAGTTTAATTTAAGTGGATATTGTTCGGGACGAAGAATACTAAGGAAGGGGCAGTGTTACG